GCTGGAAGAAAAGGCTAAGGCTGGTCCTTCCCTCCCGCAGAAGGAAAGAGTGGGGGGGAGGGAACCTGAGCGGGACTCCCGAGCAGTCCTGTGTGCTTCCTCACTATCCGGGGAGGAAGAGGGACGTTTGTACCGCTACCTCGTCGTTATGGGGGTGAAACTCCTCCATGGCTCCAGCAGCGTCCCCAATTCCCGCAGGGTGGCCCTCGGCCTTTGCATTCGCGGACTTGGGTCGGGAGCTCCGCCTTCTCGCCGCCCCGGAAGGCCGGGCGGGGCGGGTGAGCTGGAGATTAAGGCCACAGCGCCCTCTGCCGGGGGAAAGGAGGCGCGCCGGCTCCCTCTGGGGTCTGTCAACTCAGCCCCAGAATTCCCAGCAAGTGTGGGAGAGAAGGGCTGAATTCCCAATACTGTATGAGGACATTTGTAGACCTCACAGAAACCCCTCTCCTCGTTCAAAATATGGCCACTTTCTGAACCTTAACTTCCATCCCAAGTAAACATAAGAAAGGAATGCCACTCCCTGATTGCCTAACTATAGAGAACGAAAGAGAGAAAAAACAGGAGTTTTTAGCCCCTTAAACACAGTACTGTACATAATCCTCCCCTCAAATAGGGACGGACTGTACTAGTGAAAAATCATGTACAGTAATAGTGGATTATTTGCATTGGAAAGCTGATATTTGTGGATGATGACACCATTTCAACTTTGCTATGCCTCTAGTGGTACATCATATAGGGCAGACTTGGGGAAAGTGCGGCCCGAGGGCCACATACGGCCCGCGAGTCGCTCCTCTCCGGCCCACGGACAGTTTTGAACATCAAAACCATTGAGTTTTTTGTCTAAAGTTGCTCAGTTGCTTATATTTAACATACCACAAAAAAAACCTCTTTAGTATTTGTGAAGAGTAACAAGTTTAAAATAAAAACAATCATAATATCACTGTTTCGTGTGTTTTTTTAAGTAAAGTTGGTCTGGCCCCCGAACGCAGTTCAGATTTTTCATGTGGCCCCCTTATAGAAATCAATTGCCCACCCCTGGATCGATAGTGGGATGATGCTCACCTTGGCTGGAAGTTAGGTACCCGCATTATGAGTGATGAGGAGGGTTGAGGAATCTGAGACCTAAACAATCTCAGGCCGCATACAGTTAGTTAAAGAGCACAGAATGACAACTAAAATGATAACAAGAGCTAGAAGAATTCCCCTAAGAACTATGTTACATAACTTTGATTGCATTTCCGGAAAACTACTTATTACTCCAAAATGCAGTGAGATACAGGCAACCATGCTACTTGAAATTAGTTACTTCCAAACTCTGCATATAATCCTGTTTTAAAGCTGTCAGCTATTACCGTACCTTATAGTAGCTTCAGTAGAGGTTCTCACATTTTGAGAGGGGAAGAAAACATCCACTCTCCACATCCCCCACATCACTGATAATGTAATACACACTTTTATCTACCATCTTTCCATTTAGACCACTGGTTCTTAACCTTTGTTACTCAGATGTTTTTGGACTGCAACTCCCAGAAGCCTTCACCATCAGCTCTGCTGGCTGGAGTTTCTGGGAGTTGCAGTTCAAAAACACCTGAGTAACAAAGGTTAAGAACCACTGATTTAGACTCATTTTTTTACCCTATGCTCAAGAGGTCCAACAGTTGTAACCTTTCTTACAAAGGTATTTTAAGCATAATTAATAATGTTTTCTAATTACTCTCAAAATTTATTTTTAAAAGGCTTTTAAAAGCATTTTTGCTGCATTTTCTCAAGAGTTTGTGCCATTTTCTTTTCATGTCAAGTTATGAGGGCAGTTTTGCTTTGCTTTCCTTTTAATATTTACACGGTGTGGTATCTGAATTGGCCACTAGAGGGAACCAAAGAGTGTTCCTGCTGTGTGGAGGAAAGATTGTCTTGCTCCGGGAAGGTAGTGATACTGTAAAGTTCTTTTCAGCTTATAGCAATCTTGTCAGGGTTTCTAGGAGTATTTTACCTTGGCCATCCCCAGTGAGTTTCCATGATTCAGCAGACATCTAAACACAGATCTCCCCAGTGCTAGTCCCACACTATCTACTCCATGATACTGGTTGTCATAATGCATGCCCCCAAATGCCTGATAATAATAAAAAAAACACACAACATGTGGTCATATGACAGCCCACCCTCCACGTGGATGCCTTATAAGGAGCTGTTAGCTATTGTATAAACAGAATGCTGAACTAGGTGGGCTTTGATACAATCCATATTATACATTCTTACATTTATATAACTTTTATTTTTCAACCCATGATTCTTGGCTACACAATAAACCTACCTTTATCACAGTTACATTTTATTCACTCTCTACTTTTTGAACTAGAAATCTTGCTTCATGCGGAGTGTTCCTTTTTAATACAAACAGCTATACCGATTTATTCCATTAATAAATACTGTACAAAGAAATATGAATGGTGGGACAGGTCTTTGATGATCTAGCATTTACACTCCAATTCTTGGAAACAGGCCCAGTTGATCATGACCTAGAGACTATATGAACCAGGGTATTTACCAGGCAAGGCACATGGTCGCAACAATATTAGGCAATACTAATTAGTACCATAAAACACACATTCTCAAACTTAGAAAGGGGGGCAGTGGAAAGTAATTATTTATGACTTGGACTTTTTTTCTCTCCTTATTCTTCAGGACAGGCCCTTTCTTTCTCTAGCTCCCTGCTTTACACTCCTCCCCGATGTTTGGGTCCTTCCGAGCGGGATCTTGCCGCGCCTTTTTGGGAGCCCTCAGCAGTTCCCCCCTTCCTCTCTCTCTCCCCCCGCAGGTGGCCTTTCTCTTCCTCGCCGGTCTCCCGCATGGCTTCCCAGGGCCCTTCCCCAGCCGAGCCAGCAGGAGGCGCTAAAGGACGGCGACGAGTCCCGGTGTCGGCAACAAGGGAGGCGAGCAGGTCCGCGCCAGGATAGGGTTTTTTTTGCCTCACGTAGGATGATGCCCCCAGCCTGGCTCGCTGCAGCACAAACGAGCTCCCCCAGCGCTCTTTTCCCGCGCTGGAGGACGAAGGCTTTGCTGAGTTGAGTGGGGCAAGCGGGCGGAGGCGAGGCGAGGCTCCTCGTGGGGAGGTATGCCGGCCAAGCCGCAGCAGCCGAGCCGAGGACCCGCGCAGCCACCGGAGGGGGAAAGGTAATAATAAGGCGAGGGCTTTGCCCGGCTAGGGGCAAATTCCCGCCGCCCCGAAGGCTGTCCTTTCCTCGAGCCCCGGCAGTGGGAGGAAGCCGGCGGAGGGCAGGGGCGAAGGCAGGCAGCGGTGCCCGCGCTTCTTCCCGCTTTCTCGGCTGCCTGCCCGCCCCGAGGTGGCCTCTCCTCACACCGCGAGCAGGAGAGGAGGTGTCGGGAGTGCTTCCATTTTCCAAGGCTGTTTTCCTTTTTCCTTCTCCAGTCGAAGGTGCAGCGGATTTGGGGGGGCGGGAGGGAGTGGAGCGGGGAGAAGAAGGCTCGTGGTGGCGATCCTGTGCCGCGGGAAGCAGGTGCTGACGATCAGGTGCAGTCGGTGGGTTAAGGGTTGAGTGAGCCGCCGGGCTAGGCGAAGACTGGGCACAAGTAGTTTGCGCTCTCCCTCTTGCGAGTTTGCTCCAATGGGTTCGAGTTTATGAGAGTGAAGGGAACAAAAACTGTTTTAAGTAAAAAAAAAACTCGCTCCTGGGAAGCACTCCGTCATTGACCGACCCCTTTACGAGCCAGCCAGGACCGGTCTTGAGAGAAAAGGCTAATAATAATAAAGGTTGGTGCAACTTGAAGAAAGTGGCACGGTCTCCTCCTCCCAGGGTCTCTCCTGGGGCTTCCTTGTTTAGAGTCCTCTTCGCCTCTCACTCTGCTGTCACTCTACAGCAGAGCACCTGCTCTCGGTTGTTTACACCCCGCATTTTGGATGCTGGCTCCTGGAAAAGCGTTACAGCTCTAAGTCTTTTACAAGCTGATGCAGGCTTTGTTTCTTAAATCGGTTACTGGCAAGCATAGTAAGAATTTGGAGAAACAGTTCTTATTTCTCAGATTCATGAGATAGGTGTACTGAATAGTAAGTGGCCATGTACTAATAACGGGGTCTGCTACTCAGGGGTACAAATTTTTGACTCAGCTTGGTACCCAGGCATTATTTCCTTTTGGCTGACTGTGAACTTAGTCCCACCAGAATAGTACAGTAATATGGTATGATGAAATCAGCATAGATATTGTCTGATGAATGTATGTAACTCATGAGACAATTCTATGCATATCGGTGAAGTAAGCCCTTCATTTCAATAGACTTGTTCAATTATGGGATTTGCTAATAAGATTTAGATTTTCAGACTTCTTGTTTCTGTTCTGCATAAGCAGAGGTTGGCCATGGTTATAGCTGCCTTGATTTTGAAAGTGGCACATCTAAATAGAATTCTGCATTTTCTGTCTAAAAAGTGTTACAAGCATGAAGAAAAGAATAACAGGTTTCCTCTAAGGAACCTTAGAGATTAAGCACCATCTACGGTTGAGTTGTGTTTTTAAAATCTTGATTTCCTCCTGTACTGAAAGCACTAACTGCTAGGCAAGTGCTTGTTTAAATGTTAACTGGCTTAAACGTTTACAGTGTGAATTTAGTTCCTTATTGTTTCTTAGTGAAGAAACATCAGACCAAGGCTCAAGAATGAGGGCCTGACATATGAGTGCCTAGCAGCAGAAATGAACAACAACAACAACAAAAATGTGGGAAAGATTCTCTGATACAAGCAAGTGGGGAGAAGAGGTATGCAGTGCAGAATAGAGTGTGTCTAGTCATGGTTTGAATACACTAAAGGATAATCACTGATTCCAAAGTAATCTAGAATTGGAAGAGATAAGGTCTCAAGACCCAAGTCTTCTCTGATGTACATTTCTTAAACAAACTGAAAACACTGAGCTTGTGCAAGCGAACTTGTAATTCACTAGGAGGGTCTTTTGGTAAAATATTTGTATCATATCTTTATCTTTCTGATGATATGGAAAGTTCAACTCTGAAAGTTAGGCATTAAAACAGTGGCATAGGCCTATTTCTTTTTGGTGGGAATCCTTCTCTTTCTTTTAACCTTTTATAACCCTTGGGTGATATAGGCCAGGGTGAAAAGGGTTACTTCAGGCATGCTCTAGGTAACGGGCATGCCCAGAAGCCCCCCCCCTTCTTTGCACTGGCATGGCAGACTATTTTAATATGAATGGACTGTGAAGCTCCCCAGACTGCAGCATGGGAAGGGGTGCTGCTGTTCAGAAAACACTTATACTTATGAAGCTAGGTCTGATGTCTATTGCTTGTGACTATCACAACTGAATGTAAAACTTGCTACCTCTTATGTGCAACCCGAATGGGGAAACTTAGGATCAGAGCATCAGTTTTGCATTCCCTGAATTGACTGCGGCAGGGGGTGGGGGAGCCCTGGGGGTTGGAAAAAAGCAAAAATAATGCAAAATAAAATCCGATATTCTGGAAGTCTCTTACTGGGTGAGGAGTTGGAAAGAGAGTTGAAGGGGGCCCACATCTAATTTTATTGCTAAATGGTTGCTCTTAAAGGTTTCTAAGCATGGGGAATTCTGTTTTTTCTTTTTTCTTTTTAAAAATCATGGGGTTCTGTAATCAGTCCTGGAGAGTCATGTGTAGTTTCCTGGCCACACTTTGTCCATTTAGCGTACTCGCTAGCATTCTTTGTCCTATGTGGTGGAAAGCAGTATTGCTGGTGTGTGTGTGTGGGGGGGGGGAGCGTTGTGATATATACAATAAAGACTCAGTGATTCAGTAAACAATACTGGAATCGACGGGCTTTAGATGAAATTGCCTAGAGCAGTTTGTGGTTCTGGTTCCAGTGTTGGAAGAATATATAAGAAAGCAAGAGGAGAGCTAAATATTTTAGTTAGGAAGCATTTCTTTAGAAAAGTGCTTGCAGCAATTTCCATTCCTTCTGGATTGAATTCTCTTGATCAGAGAAGGAGGCTACATGGTGTTACAGGACTGCAGTCCAGAGTGTGATGTCGGCAGAGAGCATGAGTCATGGTTTCAGGGGAGAAAAAAAGATAAGCCTCTTCATTGGCAGTCCTGGGGCAAAACATAGAACGTGTATGTGAAGGAGGAGTGAATGAAAGTGAGCCGTCCTTGGTAATAGAAGCCATGATAGAGGAGAGAGAAAGTGGTGATACGAATGTGTCTGAGGATGGAGATGCTGTGCCAGAAGAGAGGAAAGGGAAGGCTGAAATATGTCTAGTAGAGGAGGGAGAGAAAGGAAAAGGGAAGGAACAGGAGCTATCAGTCTGGGAGGAAAGTATAAATGTCCAGGGAGAACAGTAGTTTGGGGCAGAGCTAGGAGGTGAGATGAAAAGGAAGGATGAGGAGAGAGCCGGAGGGGGTGAATATAAAAAGGTGTGTGACTTGCTGAAGGATTTCCCAAATCTGAGGGTTGGTGGACTATTGCCGGACCTGGAACCCAAACCAGAGTCAATGATAGAAACCCAGGAGTGGACTATCATTGTATTTCCGCATGGGCAAGGGAGAGGAAGAAAAGTAATCAGACTGGATTTGAGGTACAACACACACCAAAGGAAGGAGATTGGACGAGACACCCATGTTGCAGGACAATCTGTGCAGTGAGGAGCGTGCCCCTTCGGAAGCCCAACGATCAAGAACTATTTGGCCTAGCACCCCTGTAAATGCTTTAGACTTTGGGCGAGAGTTTACTTCACCTAGTTATGGCTTGTTGCCAGAGTTGTCTTGTTTCAACCCGATTGGAACGAATGTTGAAAAGGGTGAAATAAATAAAGACCAAATCATGAGTTCACTTAATACGTCTCCGACTTTATTTCCCGCCAAAAATGAGGAGCTGACCCAAGATTCTAACCAACCCAATCACAGTGTATGAGCAAGGTGTAGACCTGATAAGTTTCATTTGATGGCAGTAGATCTGACTGTGATCTTAGGTATATAATACCTCTAGAATGAAGTTTACAAAGTTTACTGAAGAGTTAAAATGACTAGAATATAAGAAAAAGGAAAAGAACAGCAGCCCAAACCATCTGCAATGGTGCCTCGCTAGACAGTTACCCCACATGACAGTTTTTTCGCTAGACATTGACTTTTTGCGATCGCTATAGCGATTCGCAAAACAGTGATTCCTGTGGGGGAATTTTGCTGGACAATGTTTGGTCCCTGCTTCGCAAACCAATTTTTGCTAGACAACGATTTTGACAACTCCCTCCGCGCTCGCAAAACGGGTGTTTTTGGGACCTAAGCTTTGCAAGACAGCTATTTGTCATCACTTTCCTCCCAAGAAGCAGGCATCTTTTAATTTCATGGCTGCTGTAAACATCTGCAGTGATCATGGAACCCAAGAAAGTAAAATCTGTCACTGCCTCCATATCTTCCCCTTCTGTTTGCCAGGAGGTGATGGGACCAGTGGCCATGATCTTAGTTTTTTTGATGTTCAGCTTCAGATCATTTTGGGATCTTGGGATCTTCAGACCATTTTGGGATCTTTGGGGACACTTTAATTTCCAAAAACTTGCCCAGCCTTATGCCACAGAACTACTATGGACAGGATTTCAATCTATAGTGCTGGTGTGATTATTTAGAAAAAAAGGGTGGAAGTTCCCCTTATTGGGAGATAAGGGTCGCCTTAATGAGAGACAAGTGGTCTATAACTAAAACAAACAAATACATAATAAATACATCTCCTTAGTGAGAGTACTTAACCAACTTTTAATGTTTTTTTCTGTGAGATGTTGATATCCCCTTTCACAGCCTCTTCTCTGTGTATATTTTGTGAACTAATTTTTTTTTCAGAGTGTGAACATTCACCTGCTTTGCCACTCTAGCATGGAACATACCAGGGTTTTAAGACAAAAACATCATCAAGGTCACCCAAGCCTTCAGGGGCATTACCTCAACACTTCAGGAATGACTGGCTTGCATTCTACTTTTAAATATGGTGCTCTTTTCATCCAATGCTGCAGCAAGCATCTTTTTATAATGTGTAGAGTGATGATTGCACTGTTGTCTTCAAATGGGGATTACAAAAACTTTTGACAAATGGCACATTAAGTGCAAATGTGAGCAATTCGTAGCTTTAATGGTAGTTCTCCTGGATGTGGAAAAGCTTTCTGTTGAATGTATTGCGGGGCGTCAACCTTTTTGT